CTCCAACTTCCATCCACAGGTCACTTCCGCCCATGGCTCCACCCCCCAATGGGTGTGGTCAGTGCCACAGAAGGACTATCTCACTACAGGCCTTCTTCACAATGGAAGACAAACCAGGGTCTTGCACATGGGAGACAAGGACTCTGTCACTGAACCACCAGCTACACTGACACTTTTAAAAGATTTATTGGATGTTTGATTCAATAATCTTTTTTGAATACACTTAGGCAGTGTGTACTTATACTCACTGTGTAAGCTCATTAGACACATTTGCTGTTTGCTTGAAGTCCATAACTGATAATTTAATGTGCATTGTGAATGATCCAAATAGACTAGACAGCCATTTTCTGGTATATAAATTAGACTAGATTAGTGCAGATTAATTCAAACTGCATGTTTATTGTTCCTCTTTCTTCCTAAGACTTGACAGAAACAACGGCATTTCTGGTGTTAGCTGTGAACTTGGTACCGATAGCTGGAGTCAATCTTAAAGAAGAAAGGTAGATTTGTTTGCTTTCTAAAGAAAGAGAGAGAAAGGAAGATCTTTGAGTTACATGAAAAAGATCTAGGAGGAGTTGGGGGATGGGAAAACATATCACTAGGTATTTAATAATTTATTCATTTAAAAAAGACAAAAGAGCAAAAAAGTCAAACAAGTAGAAAGCAGGATAAAATCCATTGTAATGAATATACTTTATGAAGAAAGGGCATCTGTTTCCTGTAGCACTTAAAATATATAGTTACATATATAGTATGAACTTCTGCTGTGATTACTAAATTTCAGACATGTAATCTGAAAAAAAAATGTAATAAAATCAGTTTTTCTCCCCCAAGACTAAAATGTTTGCAATAATTCCAAAAAGTATCACAATCATACAATACATTCTAAATTATTAAATTAAAATGAATGGATTAAATAAATTGCTTAAAAATAAAATGTTTAATGGATATTAGCAGATAATGTGCAAAAGAAAAGTAAATTATTAAATTATATTGCTCAATTGCTTTTCTCATATATATATATATATGTATATATATATATATATGGTTTTGAAATTACAATATAATGACATAGTTTACCCCTTTCTTTACTCACTTCAAACTCTCCTATCTATGTCTCTTGTTATCTTATAATTTATGGCCTCTTTTTCTACGATTGTTGCTCTGTGTGTGTGTGTTTGTGTACATGTACCTGCATGTGAATGTTCCTCAACACACAAGTACAACCTCTCCATCTGTGAAGTTTTACCTGTGTGTATTTTTTCCAGGATGACCATTTGTTGTTGGAAAACCGATTGTGCTATTTGCTGAGGAGGGCTATTTCTCCCTCTTTCAACCTACCTTAGATGGCTGTAGTTATTTGTCTAGGAGTTAGGACTTATGTGCATTGTGTCTTCCATGCTAGCTTGTTTACTGTTATCATAATTGCTCAGGTCATGTTTACATGTATATATTTCTAAGACTTCAATGGTGTAGTTTTTCCCATTCCTAGGAGATATTGTGGCGCCCACTCCCAATTGATACACTCAGTCACTTTTTAATCACAATTTGCTATTAAATTTTATCATTATACTGCCATAAGAAGGTATAACTTAGTTAAGTATCAACTTTGTAACTTAGTAGATACTGTGAATCAACTAATACATATCAGCTTTATTACTTTATCGACAGAGGATGCTATAAAGTTCTGCTCTCATTATTTGCATTTAAGACTTTGAGGGACAGGTTTTCTCTCCATCATAATTCTCCAAAGAGAATATAATTCCTAATTAGTAAACCATTCCTTCACTTTTATTAATTCCATTGTATCCTTAATAGCTCTGCAGATGACCCTCAGCTATGCGCGCGCGCACACACACACACACACACACACACACACACACACACACACACACATATATATATATATGTTGTCTCTTGCAAGACAACATCTTGTTCTCTGCTCATTTGTGCCACCATCAAACAGAACATGTTAAGAGAACTTGCTGTTTTCTATTATGTATAAGGAGATATTAATACATTGATCCTAGCTCTCATGTAAAGTAGGAACACATTTTAAAGACTTACAATAGAGACACATACAACTTGTGAAAAGGACATAGAGAAACGGAAGTCTCCACTCTTGGAAGAAGGAAACAACTTGTTTGTAACTGGGACTTTTAAACTGAGATCAAGAAAGAAATCACAGACTGTACACAGACCAGAGGGAATATGCATGTCCATGAAGTGACCCAGGATATGCTCATGACAAAGATGTGTGTTGGAGGTTTCGCTTTCTAAAATAAATGTCATAAATAAATTCCTCTTTGTCTAAATAAAATTTGAAAAACCTTTTGGTCCCAGAAGTCAATAATTTTGAAAATGTGTCATTGACATTGTGATCATATTAAACCTACCCACTTACAAATGTCTTTTTTAGATACAACCCATCTACATTGTCATATTTTCTAGTGTAGTGTAAATAATGGAAGCTGCAAGGAAATTATTTGTGACTAAAGATTAATTAATTGGCAAAATGATGCTGCCTCGGGTATAAATATTCTTAGAGAAATGGAGAGAAATGTTCTTTCCTAAAAAATTGCCTGTAGTTTAAAACAACTACTATGCATTGTATTGTTAGTCAAAAAGGTTAAACTAGGCCACATGTTTTATAGAGAAATACTTTAGCTGTATTGCACATAGGTCAAAAGAGAAACCATATGGGAATGTTTTAGAACAAGCTAAAATTAAAACAAATAAGCCATTTTCAGAAATTACTTGTGGTGACTATTTTCCTTTTCCAAAGTCTTATCATCTTGTCTTTTCTTTACATGACTTGAGTTGATTCAATACTCCAAAACAATGACTACAACAAACTCAATATCCTCAAGGGTACCTAGGAGATATTTTGCCTATGTTTGATTGGACACTCTGCTGGGATTCACACTTCTGAAGGCTAGAAATGCACACATGAAATTTTCCTGGAGAGAAATACCTTACCTATCTTTGCACATGCTTAAATGGGCAGATTTCCACATCTGAGTGACAAACTCAAAAACTGAAATTTGAAATCGATATTGTGTCATTAATAAAATTGAAAAAAGAAGTGTTTGATTCTATAAGGCATGAGGAAATTTTTGTTGTTTTTGTCAAGACTTATAAGTGCCACAAGGTCTATCACACCAAGTTCTGTGTGTTTTATTTTTTTATTTATAGAAAAATGACCCTGACAAGATAACAGTCTGCTACACACAGATACCTCCTGCAGAGAGATGGGGGCAGAAATGGTCCATGTTCAGTTCCTTCTAACTTAATGACTGTCTTGGACCTTAGTAAAGAATTATGTCCCTGTGACATTTGTAAGGTACTAATACAGCACATCCCCCCTTTTTTGAGACAGGGTTTCTCTGTAGCCACCAATGCCTGGCAATACAGGCCCTTTAAAGAAAGAATGACAAGAGATTATAGCAATTGCTCGGCAAATTCCTGGAAACTTCAGGTCAAAACTGTCTTCTTCAACATAAGTTTATTTTAAAAAATATAAAGCAAGAAGTGATGATGCTGTCTATTCAAATGTAGATGAGTTAGATAACTATGCTGAGTGAGACAAATAGTGGAAAATGTAGTCACTTGAAGTAACCAATGCAAAAGAATATGTTTTCAACAAAAGATAAAGTAAGTTCATAAAACATATCAAGTAGCCACAACATAATTACAAAGTAGGGAATTTTTGCTGCATATCTGACAATGACAAAATGAATTTTTGAGAACTGCAAGATATTCCAGGTTGCATCTAAGTCGGTAATGTAGCGAGACTGTGGAAATTCACTGTATGTTCACACCATAGTTTGTGTATATATTTGTTTAGGTGAAATCTAACTTTGTATCCTGTACAACCTTGTTTTGTAGCACAATCTTTCCTGGAGCTGAAGATCCCTTAAGCTCAGCTTTCCCAGTGTTGTGCTTACAGGCCATAATAAACCCTGGCACTGTTTTGTGTGCCAATAGATAACAAAACAATATTAATGGAGTAATACAGATAATTACTATCTGTTACATAAAATACAACTAATGTATGAAATATTAGCAAATCATGTGTACTTGTTACTATATGTGCAAATACTAGTATACCAAGTATGCAATGTCAATATATATGTAAATATACATATATATATATGATCACATAGATTATATATGTCTATGCTATTACCAGTTTGTCTTTTATCTAAACATTTCTTGTGTGATTATATTAACTTTTAAATATTATGTATTTTTCCAAATACAATATTAGTTTTTATATTTTTGATCAAAATTAAAGAAAAAAGTAAAAAGTAATTCTTAAATATACTACTTAGTATAATGTATTATGAAAGGTACACTAGCATTCAAAAATGTATTATAAGTAACTAATATAAGGAAAGGAGTTTATAGATTATTCTTTATAGAAGTAATATACATAATGGATTACATATTAAAGTATATAATTATATAATAGATTATTCCTTATGTAATTTTAGTTACTAACTTGTTTTCTTAAACAAGTGTCTTATATGTAAAAGTATCGAGTGTGACATTGGTCTGAAGCATGAAGCTAGCCTTCTGTTTTACTGGTTGACCTCTGAGCTGTAGATAGACCTTAATTGCTCCTTTAACAATCTAGCACTTGTGTGCCCATCACATCGCCTACAAGACCTTTAGCATTTCTGTTGCCACCTGTCATTGAAACGCCATCAGTGTTATCGCAAACTCTTATTACCCTGAGTCACAGAAAGAAATTAAAATCAGTATTTTGTTCATGAGCAGGCATCGATGTCAAATTCCACAATTCTCTTTTCCAAAGTGGGTGAGTGAAAAGACTAAGTATGCATATAAATTAATATCTGAAAATATGGAAAGCATTATAAAATAGTGAAAATATGTTTGTTGTGGCGGTCTACCCAATGTTCTTTCCTGGCTAGAGAAAATCTTTAGTTATGTGTTTCATTGTGCCAAGGACAGCGTGGTCCTTTCCAGCCACTTACCCTCTGACAGCATGAATAAGCCTCAATGATGGATAGGCAGTTCGCACTTTCAGCTTATTCTTAAGGATCAACGCATTAACCCATTCCACGTGCTTCTCTCCTCCTTTGACCATGAAAGCGGGGATCCAAAGGACACTGTCATTCAGCATGGAAAGTCTATGCACAAATTTTTCTCTGTCACTCTCATTCCGAAAGCCTCCAAATGCTCTTTGCACAACTGATGGGTTCATGGTAATAAAATCTGATTTAGTCCCCACATCCGCAGCGAACTCCACCACAGGGGCTAGATTACACCTGAGGAAAAATTAGTGGAAAAAATGAAAAATAAATATGAAAAATTCACTCTTAAAATGGTGCAAAAGAAAAGAATGAGGAGCTAGCATGTTTTTATCAATAAGCATAACAAAACAAAAACAAAAACCTCCCCAAATAACATGCCTGGCAAAAATTACATGCTCAATAAATCAGCAAAATGTTAGAAACAATGCTTTCAATAAAGATTTTTATTCCCAGTAGGGCTCCAGTTTAGCCAGTCTGATATGTATGTATGTATGTATTTATATATGTATGTATGTATGTATATATATATATATATATATATATATATAGTCTTCACCTTCACAATGCATACAATAGGAGCTTGCTGAAATGCATGTTTTAATCAGTTTGCAAAAGATCTAAGATCATTTAGATTTCTTCAAACTAGACTTTCTGATATGCAAAAGAAAAATGTCTTTCAAATGTATTCAATTCATGCTTTCATGAAAACATACCTACCTATTTATAAAGTATAGCTTTCCCCTTTTTTTTGTCTATCTCTCAGAAGAATGAAAATAGATCTTATAGTTCATTCTTTATATTTCTCTTCCTGTGTTTTTGCCACATTAATTACACTCTCAAACAACTTAAATTTAAATTATAAAAGAACATATGCATCTAGTTGTAGAAACGTTGTCTTAGATATAATCCTGTATCTCTCGTAATTAGCATATATTTAATTCATAGGTCTCTTACAACTTTACCTCTAATAATAAATCTTTTCTACCTCACACTATTAGGTAAAGTCTTTACTCTCCAGAATGAGCTATTAAAGAGGGGAAAGGAAAATATTAACGCATTGGTTGCATATTAATTAGAGGTTATATTTTAATACATATCTTTATGCAAGCAGAGATATTAGCTTTCCTTAGTCCATGTCACAAATTCAGGTGGACTACAAATAATTTCCTTTCTAATGAAGACGGTCAGCTGAGGACAGCCCTGAACGGCTGCTATTCTCAGGAAAGGAGGAAACTCCAGGATGGTATACAAATGAATAGAAAGTATATTTCACCTAATACTTCATGGCATACTGAGGATCTGATATCTGATTATTATTTTGTTTGAACTGATTACATAACAGAATTTCCATAGGCCCAATTTGTTCTCAAACTCATATGGACAGTTTTAGCCTTAAATGTCTATATTGTAAAGGCTAGCCTGGGACTCCAGATCCTTCTACCCACACCTCTCAACTGCAAGTGTCTACAGAAGCATCAGAAATTCTAACTGCATCACACCAATGTTTTAAAAAAAATCTTAATCTGATATTAATATTAATTGGGATCCTGTATGGAAAGGGGTATTCTAAGGGTTATTATTATAGATACTACCTCAAGCAACATCCGAAAACTCACATTAACAGTAAAACTGACATGATGCTGTCAGGACAGATGGCACTGTACATATCTTACTGCAAAAGAAAGAGAGACAGGAAGGAAAGAAGGAAGGAAGGTAGAAAGGAAGGAAGGAAACCAACAAAATTTCAGCGAGTGCTTTCTCATTGTAGATAGCATCTATACTTCCCAATATCAAGAACATAAAAATAATCAGAAACAATCTGCTAAAGAGAGAGAAATTTTGTACTGTTAAATCATCTACTAGGGAGAAAGAGTAAAGATTACTCCATGCTTTTATTTCCTTGTCCCATAGAGGCTCCCATCCCATTCCATAATTTCCCTGAAAGCACTACATTAACATGAACTTAACATAGTTCTGGCACACAATTATGTGGTCATGTGCCTGATAAATGGACATAAATTTAAGTAACTTGTAAAATCTTAACCTTAGACCCCGTAGATTAGTGCAACTCTCAACCCTCAATGGAGACGCAAACAGGAACAAAACAGGAGGCGTAGACGCCACATGGACAATGACTAGCAATGGCTATTTTCCTCAAATACAATCTAACTGATTATTTAGTAATCAAAGATTGTGTAGTAAGCAGTATTGGAGTCAAGGATATACACTGCCGTTCTCTCTGTGTCTTTTTATAGTTGTAGAAGAAAATTCTCAAATGTCAACAAACGGTTGGACTCAGAGTCGGACACTACTTCCCTGGTTCAATACATAGTCCTCATTGCCTGAGAGTCTCATTGCATGAACTCGGGGACTGTTCAGGCTATCTTTCTTCACTTGTCAATAGTCATAAGGACAAATAGCTTCAAGAAAATGTAAATCAACAAAAACTGTTAGAAGAGTGTTCCTAAGAAAGTAAGCAATGCCTGAACTATATTTTAGTAAAATGGACTTCCCCTGATGTTTTCTAATTCAGGGCTCTTTTTTTTTTTTTTTTTCCCTGCTTTTACTCAACACTTTTCTGTTTGTGGAAGATCACTACAAGCCAACCCTGAGTAACTTAGATGGAGAGTTCTTTCTTGAAAAGATGGTAACATTTCCAAAGCTCCTTAGATCTGTTAAGTCTCCAGTGGTACCCTTGATTCCCTACCACCAGGGCACTGGCAGGTCTTTGGAAATCTCACTGTCTTCCAGGCTTCCACTCATTGTTTAAGGCCATGCCTAGGAACATCTCTTTAGATAACTTTTAGTCACGTTACCCTTCCTTTGTTGCCAGGTACAGAATTAACGTGATACCTTTGTTTCCATTTTGCAATTGGCAACAGGCCCTCTACTATGGGAGTGGGTTTATCCCGGATAACGAGTCAGATTTCAAGCTGTTACAGAGAACAACATAGGTTCAATTGGTCACTTAGCATTCATTTGCAGTGCTGCCATTTTTAGAGAATCAGTACCAGGCGCCCTCATTGTCAGTACGTGCCTTGCCTCTTGAGTAAGCTTAATGATGAGTTCTAGCCTTTCAATTAACACAGAGAGATAAATCTCCCCATAATGATGCCTACTGATATGAGCTGTCTCTGAACGCCTCTCAGATATGCAGTTATACAGGAAGACACTGTCTACAGAGTCCTCTTCACTCTTCTGAGCCATTTTCCATACCCTAACACTGCCACTGTCACCTCTGCTGCCCCTACAATAGGAAAAACTCTGAGAGCCTTCTTATAGCCGGCCCTCTTTTTACACTCTTGGACGGCGCTCTGCCTCACATTCCTCCATACCCTGCCCTTTTACTCAGCACTGTTCTACCTCAGCTACATCTTGCCTAAATGTTTGCTATAACTTTAGTGAGTTTGTAATTTCTAATCTCACATTCCTATCTTTGGTTAACATTTGCTACCAGTGAGAATTCCCATCCACAAGACTTCACATCAGTGAGATTGAAATACTTACATTCCCAACTTTATCTCAGAATTCTTTACAAATGACAAACGGACTAGTTACTATTGAGCATTCATTGGCAAGAAGGTCAGAAGTCTCAAATCCTAGATTAGGTAAATTATCAAGCTTTGACCAGGAGCTATCTTGCTTTCATGTGAGACAATGACAACAACCTCTCTCTCTCTCTCTCTCTCTCTCTCTCTCTCTCTCTCTCTCTCTCTCTCTCTCTCCTTCTCTCTCAATCTGTGTGTGTGTGTGTTTGTGTGTATCATTGCTACATTGCTATCACATTATTGCTATTAGTTTTAGCATTAGACTATGTATTCCTTAGTTCATATCTAACTTTATTCTTTGTGTCACTCATGCATACCAGTTCAAAATCCAACACACACTAATAATAAGGTAAATAATTTGCTAAAAAGGGAAGCTAGTTCAATCACTTGCTTTGGGAGTATGAGATTCTGAGTTTCATTCCCAGACTCCCAAAAACTACCAAGCGTAATAGAACACATACATCACTGTGTGACATGGAGGCAGAAACATAGGATCTCTGGGACTTACAAGCCATTCAGTCTAGCTAACTCAGTGTGCCTAAGGCCAATGAGAAACCCTGTCTAAAAAATAAAAAAAAAGTAATAGTATTTTTGAGGATGGCATCTAAGTTTATTTTCTGATTTTCTTACACACACACATAAGTGTGCCTATATGAACATATGTTCATATAAATATATTTGACTAAATAGATGGAAATATTCAGTATCCATGGATACTAAAAGATCGTTGTATACATTCATAAAATAAGCACAAACACACACATCAACAAAACTGTAAACATTTAATTTTGTCATCCATGCAATAAAGTGATAAAGTAGCAGAGTCGTTAATATACTACACTGCTGAGTAGCCTGAGGCACACAGGGGATTTGAGAAGTCCTGGGGCATTCATCTTAGATCCAGAGCAATGGAGCTGTCCAAGTACTGAATCTATGCTTAAACATGTTTAAGATATGAAAGAATTAATTAAATACATGGCTTTAAAAATATATGTTTCAGATTTAATCTTCAATTTTATGTCCCTCATTATCGCTGTAGAAATCTACCATTATGCTATTGAACTGACAAATATGTTAAAAATTACCTTTTAATTCCACCATTTGTCATGGATCTCCAAAATCTATCACATGACTAACTTGACTTTTCACAAACATGAACACAGGGGTTTTTACTTGATTCATTGTAAACATCATGTTCTCTGAAATTACATATAGCCTTAAAAATCAAGCTTATCTGCTAAATTCATTCTTTTTTCATGAAAATGATCATCGTGTGTGTGTGTGTATGTGTGTGTGTGTGTGTGTGTGTGTGTGTAAGGGGTACAGGAAAATTCTAGAGGTTCATTCATTTTCCCTGAAAAAGTCATAATTAGTATAGTCTAGAACACTGAATGCAGACTTTTGGCTCATTCTCAAATGCTGTGCTCCTGAACAATTAAAGGTCACCCTGCTCCTCCACACTGAGATGACTTTAAAATGGCATGAATGCATGCCTGTCCTCCATTTTTCTTTCAGCCCTCTACTTACAATACTTATAATGTCCTAGTCTGTACATTCATTTTGCACACATATAAAGTATATATTTACTTTAAAAAGAATGTGTGGGATTCATGTGTGGTATAGAACTTTAATTCTTTTTGTCTGACAAAGAACAAACTTATAACAGTTTGGATCTTTTTAAGTCAT